ATACATAAATATGTAGTCCCCGGTGTGTCAGGGAACTCACGCAGCGTCAGAAAATAAACTCTCTCTCTTTTCCTCCGTACCCGAATTCTACTAAAAACGGGGGGTACAACGGAGCTGATCCAGATTTGCGTCCGATATGACGTAATATCGGAAATGTAGGCTGGCTTTACACCCACGGCCCTATCAGAAACAATGCCCGACTGTTTTGGACGTAATATGGTCGTCGGTGTTGACATTAGCATCGCTAACACTCAGAGCTAACCTGTACTGGAGAGCATGTGTGTGAAGAAGCAGGAAGTAAAAAGGAACTCACCTTGTGGTATAACCGGCAAGAGAGAAAGCCTTTGAGCTCCATACTGTTTCAGAGATAATCCTTGATAATCCATGATATGGCGTTTCATCACGGCAGTATTTAGTTTAGACAGTAGCTGCCGGGTCCCGCATGAGCTCAGACCCCTCCTAAAGCTTTTTACCCAAATCAGCACTTTTGAAACAGGAAGTGAAATAGAGGGATATGAGGCATGGCTAGAATGGGTGATCTGTTTGGTATTTTGAGCAAAACACTTCATAGACATATTTTTTAAATATTTGTATATATCTGAGACCTATGCTATTGCCTAAAAATAGCATGATAGGTGACCTTTAAGGTACATTTGAATTTGCCATATTTTGTCTATACATGTGCGTTACAAACTACTTTTTTTAACACAGTATAAATACTAAAAAACAAAAAAACATGCCTTAAAGCGTGTGTCAAATCCAAAAGCAGTTTGTTTTTTAATTATAAGTAAAGGAAAAAACATAAATTGCTCCAGAAAAAAGAGACACACCAAATACATATTATACTAATACAATAAAAACCAAATTAAAACCCAGATAATTATCAAATAATAATAATTTTAAGAGTAGATAAAGAATCTCTTTATATATCTTAAATACATTCAGATTTAGAGTTAGATTACATCTGATTGTTAAACGGTAATATATAAAGGAGTATCCTCTCTCTGTTTCTCTCTGACCTGAAGCAGAGCTGCACACAGGTAGCAGATGACGAAGGTGGTCGTCATGGCGATGTGGCCCCCCTGCAGCAGGTGGATGGTGAAGAGGAAGAGCAGGTGACCCGGGACCACGAAGAGAACCAGGACTCTCGCCGATTTGGAGTTAACATCTGGATAAAACATAGAAAGAGAAGAAACAAGATGTGTGAGCTAGTGTGTCCAGTTTCTGTTTCATAAAATATGTTCTTGTGTTTCTTAGAACAGTTTTTGGCTTGTGCTTGGATCTGTTTAAGGAAATGATGGGTAGCTGAATTTTGATGTGTTCATTTTCACAGCTGAATAAACTAAGGTCAGGTGATTGCTTCCTATGAAGTCTGTTTCATTGTTCTAAGTTTTAATACTTTAATAACTTCGAAAACACACTTGTTTCTTTTTACAGATAACTATTTACTTGTTTTGATGGCACCTTAGAAGGAGTAGCTTTAATCTTCTCGTTGTACTTGTATAACGTCAATACATGCTTCTAATCTAATCTAATCTAAAGTCTGTGTGTAACTAGAGCTAGCAGCTGGTTAGCTTAGCTTAGCTTAGCTTAGCAAGACTGGGTAACAGCCAGCCTGCCTTGGGGAAATGAACAAAATCTGCCTTCTGTATTACAGGCTATTTCTTTAGTTCACATGTTATATTTGTTTTTAAATTGGCATTCGTTCATGTTCATGTGTGTGAAATACTATCTGGCTCTTAAGATGCTAAATGCCCTTGTTATTATTCCCCAGCTAGCATGCTAACGTTATCTGTCTGACATCTTGTGCCAGGCAATTAGCATACAATTGGGTTTTTTGGAGCTAGTTTGCTTAAAAATGCTGGAAATAATTAAATAAAACACACTTAAAATGTCCAGGGGAATCTCGCCCATGGATGTGTTTTAAAACCGCCAACTGCCTAATCGTACTAGTATGTTCTGAATCCGCTGTTTTGTTGTTACTGAAAATGGAAAATTTTGCTTTTAATGAAAATGAGCTACTGGAAAGGTTCGTGTCTTTTACATGTTGTGATTTGATTGATGTGACTTTAATAAAACTCTTACATGTTTGACTCCCTTATTCCTTTTGTACAGAGGTGGGAAGTAGCAGAGTACAAATACTTTGTTACTGCACTTAAGTACATTTTTCCGGTATCAGTACTTTACTCCACTAATTATTTTTCTGACGACTTTTTACTTTGACTTCTTACATGTTGAACACAAATACCTGTACTTTCTACTTCTTACATGTTGAACCCAAATACCTGTACTTTCTACTTCTTACATGTTGAACTCAAATACCTGTACTTTCTACTTCTTACATGTTGAACACAAATACCTGTACTTTCTACTTCTTACATGTTGAACNAAATGGAAAATATGATTGCTTTGTTATATCAATACGGTTGGTACAATCCATTTCTGCAATAAAAATATTCTTAAAAAAAAAAAAATGTCCAGGAGAGCTACAGACAGTCTAAGTCAAGTCAACTTTATTGTCAATTTTCTGGGCAAGCGACAACGCACGCCGCCGTGTGTAGGGGCCGTTACTTGAGTAAAGAAGTTTAGTCAGTACTTCTACTTTTACCAGAGTATTTTTAAACACGAGTATCTGTACTTCTACTTGAGTAAAGGATGTGTGTACTTTTGCCACCTCTGCTTTTGTATTCATAACTCCTGATGAAGGACACCTGTATTTCTTCTGTACATATTGTATATATCTGACCTGAGGAGCAGAGGGTAGCACAGGGTCCGGGACAGTTTCCACTCATCGTAACGGGAACAGATCCAGGAACAGTCCAGCAGTGAAGGTACGTGGACATCCTGCTGGCTTGAATGGCAACAAGATTTCCCCCTACGCCTGTTTTAATGGACAAATGTGGCACTTATCAATAACGAAACACACATTTAAAGGTCTCTGTTGCTCAAAATACCAAACAGATCACCCATTCTAGCCATGCTTCATACCCCTCTATCTCAGCCCTGTTAGAGAAGTGCTGATTCTGGGTCTGTAGCTTTAAAAAAAAAACGAGGGCTCATGCAGGACCATCCAAACCACATCAAGGATGATTTCTGAAACAGTCTGGAGCCCAAATGCTTTTTCTCTTGCAGCTTTACCACAAAGTGAGTTCCTTTCTTTATTTCCTGCTTTTTTACACATGCTCTCTCCAGTACAGGTTAGCTCTGAGTGTTAGCGATGCTTGCTAATCTAAACAAAGACCATATTACGTCCAAAACACGCTGCGCATTGTTTCTGATAGCGACGTTTCTGATAGGGCATCATATCGGACGCAAACCTGGATCAGCTCCGTTGTTCACCCGTTTTTAGAGATGTGGGTAGAAGTAGTATTCGTTTATTTGTCCCCGAGGGGAAAATGGGTTGCAGCACAAGGCATTTAAAAAGATAAAAAATGCGTCACTGACAACAACATAGACACAGATTAAAAAAGAACAGACATAACAAAAACAGATATCGGCAGACATGACAATTTGCGAGAGGGGGGCCAGTGCCAGGCCAGCTGGGTAAACAGTGCGTCCTAGCCATCATTGATTCAGGAGTTTGTTGGCTTGTGGGACGAAAGACAGCCTAGATCTGTTCTTTTTAAACAGAGGGGCACGAGGTCTGTTCTTTTGAACAGAGGGGCACGATATCTCCGCCCGGATGGCAACAGTTCAAAATAAGAGGCGAGACGGTGCCTCAGGTCACTCACAATACTGTGTGCCATTTTTAAAACTCTGTCCTTGTATAAGCTTTCTAGACTAGAACATTAGATTCCTGACACTTTACTGGACAATGTTACGGCCCTCCTGACTGGCTTTGTCTGCGCCTCAGTGGCGTTGCCGAGCCAGCATATGATGCCGAAGGAGAGCACACTTTCAATAAAAGCAAGATAAAACATCTTAACCATTCTGTACCAATCATTTACGTAAAAAGAACATTCTTTGTTGAGACTTAGCGTTTACTTTCTCAGACCAAACTCTGAGCTTGTGGTCAAGCACGACACCAAGATACTTGTACTCAGTGACTCATTGTATCAGGGTTCATACACTTTTTCACCAATGATTTCCATGACCAAAACAATTACTCTTTCTCAGCGGTACCACTGAAACATTTGTATTTTAACATGGTAAGCTGGAAAATAAGGTCTGCATATGAAACGTGTTGTTCCTATCTAAAACAAATCAAATAGTTGGCTTACTAGCTCCTACAGACTAAAGCCACTGTAGACTAGAGGGCGTGAATGTAAACATCTCTCACCAGCAAAATACCTCGTCAGTTAAATGCCATTTACGCTTCATTACTATACGATACAGTATTTATTATCGTTATAGTATTACTATTTCGGCGATTAGATAAAATATAAATTATATTTGATGCAGCTTTGGTTACATTTCCATGACTTTTCCAAAACTTTGGGAAAAATATAACTTTTCCAGGG